GAGGAGTCTGTATAGGGTTTCCAAGGCTGTAAAACACTGTGGCAGCAGAAACTCTCTTTCTACCATGGAGTAGCTGGGGGAGTCAAATCACCAATCATGCGGTTAACCGCCCAGCTCATAACTTCCTAATATACCAGTCTCCAATACTACCAGACTCCAGTTTCAGCGAATACTAACTCTAATTTAAAGATGACCATCCAAATTTAATTTCAATTTCTTTATGTATTCCCAACCCTTAAATTAAGAGAGATTTCCCTACACTTTTTCTTTATTCCCAAATCCATAGATGACTCTCTTTGCATCCTGCCATGCCTGCATCTTAACATCCCCATGATTCTGAATTCCTGATTGGAGATAACCCCAAATATATCTCCCCCACACCCAAGTCTCAAAAATATTCACCAAAATAAGACCTGGCCTGCAATTTACAGTGTCCTTACAAATCTTCCACACATACAATACCCCCAGAACCAGTAACCTTAAGTCTCTTTGGAGGCTTCCATTTCCCCAAAAAAAAAATGAACTTGAAAACCTCTCTTCCAAATATCCCATCCCATTCCCTCCTCCAGCTGAACGCCACTAATCCAGCACTTAAAACCTGTAAGTGGGTTTCTCAAATTTGCTGTTTGGTATCCCTAAAATGCCCACACATGGACGCTACAAAGAGAACAACCCTAGAATCTTGCCTACTCTCTCTTTCCATTGGTCTGCAAACTGTTAGATGTGTCCCCACCTCCCTCAAGATGATCCCCGATGCCCTAGTTTCTTATCTGGATAGAATGCTTGAATCCTAGGAAGAAGCTGCGCAAGGGATTGGACTCAAAATTCTTTCCAGAATAAAAATGCGCATGCCCTAATTCTCCACCAGTGGGCGCTAAGGTCCATTAAGACACTATCCCATCCCCCATTTCCTTTTTCCCTCCATTTTCCGTTTCCCTGTTGCCTGGCAACGAGGCAATCAAGGATTTTTGTTGTCGCCTAGCAACCGTCTCCCGGGAACATAGAGAGGAGGTAGGAGGGGTGCTCTGATTAAATCTGAACAGACCTCCATCTTAGAGAAATTGAGACGTCAGATCTCCCAGCCCCTGGATTCTCCTTTCCAAAGACCCCGGAGTCCCACAGTTGCTTAGACAACAAGCCCCTCAAACCTTGTCTCTTTATGGCACGTGGGGACCAAACCCCGCCCCTTTTGAATCAGCCCCGCCCTGATCTGGTCAGGTAGCCCAGCCTTTCCCCCTCGCCCCGCCCCTTCCCAAGGGCTGGTGCCCATCTCCTTTTATAGAGTAAGCAGACTCCGCCCACCTGCCTCCAGAAGACCACGCCTCCATCCACTTCCCGCCCATTCGCTCCCCCATCTCGCCTACACTGTCCCTCCGCCACGCCCCAGTCAGCCAATGAATGAGGCCGTTGGCCACACTGCCCCGCCCCCGACTTCTAAGCTTTGTCCAATAAGGGCCACCCGGAGGGTTTAACCATTACGTCTCCAGGGTTCTGGGCCAAATATCCTGGGTCTTTTCCCCACTTTCCTTCCTCCCCCACTAGTTCTGCTCCGCCCTCCGCCACCTTCGCCCGGCCCTCATCGTCAGCCACGCAACTTCAGTCGTCGCCGGTTACTATGGCAACGGCGGCAGCAGCGCGGAGGGGGGGAGGGACGGGGGCGGAGTGGGAGAAAGAGATGCTCAGAGATCGAGAGATACTGGCAGAGATATAGGCACGAAGTTAGAATAAGTAATAGCTATAAAAAGTCGGAGTTTGCACAGGGCCTGGCACGTAGTAGCCACTCAGTAAATGTTTCTTAAATTTCTGCGGCAGGAGCCTAAATATAGGCAATGAAAGATGAAGTGCTCTCAGACGGAGCTGGGGAGCTCAACAACCGCAACGCCCAGCATTCTGTGGGGCAGGAGCCGTGTGCCCCCTGCTGGCTTTTCCTGGGCTACCCTCCACTGCCCTGGATAGAGTTGGACCACAACTCCCAATGAACCCATTGGCAATAATCTTGTAACACTGAGGGAGTTTGTGCCTCACGGCCTTCTGGGAGTTGAAGTCCCCAGCATCCCACGGCTAACAAGTTTTCTAGCAAAGGAATGAGGCAAGTCTGAGTCGCCACACATCTCTAAGACCCCCAAATGCATAATCCTCTCTGCACAAACCTACGCCCTTCCAGGATACCCAACCCTGCACTCCATCGGTGAAGTGGGGAATCGGGGAGGAGGGTAAATAGGCCCCTCTGAGAATAGCTACCAGTGCAGGCAAGCCCCTCACCCTCGCTCACATATGTATGTTCACGTGTTGGAAACAGAGCCCACACATTCCTAATGGATTTTCTATCAACACCAGTACATAGAGGACCACAGCCAGGGAGCTTAAGACCAAGGAAGCAGGCTAACGGCAGGAGGTAGAAAGAGCAGAGGATCAGACAGGCATTACAGCAGCCTGGGCTAGTGAAACTGAAGCACAAGTATCTACTGAAACTGCCAGGGGGTGGTGGATAAGGGTAGGAAGCAGACTGGGAGAAGGCCCACAGAATATGGGAAGAAGCAATTGGCCCTGGGGAGCCGGCTGGGGCTCTGGACCTGAAAAGTCCTCAGTTTCCAGTCTCTTCCATCCACTCTCACACACGTGCATAATGCATGTGTACACATATGTGTGAGTTTGTGGCAAAGAACATGTGTGTCCTCAGCTCCCTCCCTTCAGACGCTGCTGTTCCCACTAAATATAACCCCCTCCCCAGCCTGTGACTCACGCGGACCCCGCCTCCCCCGGCCCCCACTTCCTGTCCCACCCCGCAGCCCCCAGCTGCCTGCCACCCGCCCAAGCCTCCCTCTACACACCAAGCATTCAGCTTTCCAGTCCCAAAGGCTCTCAGCAAAGACCTACCTAGGTATCCTGCATTCCATCAGGCGCCTGCTTGCCCTCCCTCCCCATGCAAGATTTCCTGCCCTTTCCAGGGATACTCTGATACAAATCCTCGAAGCTACCAGCCTTGCCCTCCTCCTACTCCTTTTCACCCCAGTAACCTCAGTCAGAAGTCCTGAGGGACCCTTAAAGCCAGGTGTCCTTCCCACCTTGATTCCAAGTGTCAGGAGGTAGCAAAACATCTGCTCTTCCTCTTTCTCAACCAGGGATAGATGCAGTGTGGGAGGAGATGGGGTCTTGAGCACCTGCCTAGGCCACCCCAAATTTTACAACACCCACCTGGTCCCCTTCCTTAAATTTCCTCTTTCCCTAAACCTCTTCTCTCTTCCCCTGGAGCTAGCAACCACAGCTGCTTTAACCTTTACTTCCCAGGAGGGTACCCCAAATTCTAACCTCCCTGGTCCATTCATTCAGGTGATCCTATGTCAGGCCTCAGCATTCCGACAACTCCTAGTATCCCCATTCCATAAGATCAAGTCCCCAAATTAACAGTGCCCTCAAATTGAGGGTGCACCTCCAAATATATCTTGTTTTATAGTCTTAAGGCCTACCCCCTCCCTACCACTTGACACCCCAGACCAGTCAGGCACTCACAACCAATAACCCTCTCCCTTACACACAGGAACCCCCCAAAATTAGACAAGAAACCTAGAAGCTAACTTGTCCCCAGGAGGGATGAGGACCCCCACACACACCTAGCCCACCTTCCAACATATACAAGCAGAACTCCCATGTGAGCCCAGCTTCTCCTCAAGTCTTCCTCAAGCATCATTGGTGAGCCCCCAAATTCACACACCCCCAAACCACAAAGCACCCCAATTTTTCCATTTCTATACAGGTACCAAGAGATCACTCCAGAGGGCACCTGTGGCCGAACCTAGATTTCTCTTGATATGTGAACCCCAAAACTAAATTATGATCCCCAAATACATCCTTCTAATGCTCTTACCCTAGGGCCCCCACTCCCAGATGAGGTTCGCCTAACCTCTTCCCACAACTCGTTACCCTCCCCCAGTTCACAGCCCCCCCCATCACGCTTACCTTGGTTGTCACTATACAGAGACAGTCCATGTTGGGGGGCCTGGCCGCGGCGGCGGGTAAGGGGCTCTGACTTCATCGGAGTTTCGTTCCTCCCCTCCGCGGGTTCTCACCCCTCCCCCCTCCGCACCCCACTTTTGCAGGGGGGGCCAGGATGGGGGGAGGGGTGAGAGGGGAAGGAGGAGGTTGGAGAAAGGAAGGGTAGGGGAGCGTGGGAGGGAGGGGAAAGGGGCCCTAAAAAGGGGTCCCCAGTACAGGGGAGGGGGCTTGGGGAGCACACCTCGATTCTCAGGAGGGGCGGGGGCAGCGGGGGCTGACAGCCCCGGGGTTCGGGGGCTGGGGCATGAGCTGGGGTGGGGGAGGGGAACTGGATTTCGGGGAGCCCCGGGGTAGGGAGAGTCTTGCCTAATGGCCAAGGGCTAGAGGCCGTGGCGGGGGGGGGGGGGGGGTAGGAGGTGGCAGCGGCGGAGGGAGCAGTGGAGCCGAGGAGGGAAAGGGAGAGAGGAGAGAGGAAGCAGGGGGAGGGAGGGAGCGAGCGAAGAGCGAAAATGGGGGGGGTGCCTTGGCACAGTTAACTCCTTCGGTGCTGGCAAGAACCCGGATAATGGGAAAGGCGCTAGAAGCAGAAGCAAAGAAACCCTGAGGCAAACATGGAGACCTGGCCAGCCACCAGCGATGATAATGAAGACAAGAGAGGAGGGCTTTCATTTCTTGGGAGAAGCACCCCGAGTGGGACTGGGTGCACCCATGGTTGTTTAAATAGGAGGAAAACCGTGGTGGGGTTAGGGGGAAGGGAGGGAGTGGCAGGAGGGAATCCCTTGGGGTCTGCCTCTCCCAGGGTTCTCAGGAGGAAGGTAGCAAAGTCCTGAACTCTTTAGTGCCTGAAATTGGGGCAGGTCAGGAAAGCAAGGGTAAGAAGAAGGGGCTACAGGATAGATAGAAGTAAGTACATCCTCAAGCCCCCTATGCCACTTAGCACTGGATTTCCTCACCCAAGAACCCAAATCTCTGAAATGTTAGCAGTACTTTCCTGACCCCTCAGTCACCCACCCCCTTTTCTGACTCTTTGAGATGCAGGCATCATAATAGTCCAGGATGTCTGTCACAGAAATAGAAGTGAGTTACCCTCCTCCAGGGCGGCGGGGTTCTCTGGGGTCACCTATGCTCTGTTAAGATTGTCAATGCTGGTGGAGATCAATGGGGGAAAGTCCTGAATGGGACTTCCGAACCAGCCCTGAAGTCCACGACTGTCTTCAGAGGCCCAAGTCAGCCCCTCAGAACATTGGTGCTACTCACCCAGCAAGGCCTGGAAGAGGTCACTGTGTGGCACCGTGAGGAGCGGAGGTGCCCACCGAAGTAGTGGAGGGGCCCGGAACCAAAAACCTGATCTAGGAGCTAGTGAAATGCAAATGAGGGAGGATTGAGGTCAGGAAGAGACCAGGCCAGAGAGAGTCACACAGCTTTACCTCATCTCCCCCACTCTTTGCTCTTATACCCAGACTCCATGGAAAGGTTGAGAAGTATTCCACAGAGTCCCAGCCTCCCAGTTCACTCCCAGGCCTCCCCATAAAAACCTGTCTTTCACCTCTTGGTCTCTCAGACATCTCTCTTCTCTCACTTTAATCTCCTTAATCACCCCAGATTGGAGTTAAATTGCCTTCTCCCAACCCAATTTTGGCTGTTAGGTAGTCTCTGAACTGACCTGACCTGCTAGCTGTTCCATTCTTCCCTCAGTGCCCAGACAACCCCACACCAACTGCCCCTGACACCCTGGCCACTTGTCCCCATAAATTGGCATGATTTAGCTACACTTCCCTGAGGGTCTGGGAAAGAAGGTCTCCCCACAAGGGGACTCCTGCAACACAAAGAAAAGAAAGCAGCTCTCTTCCCACTTGGGCCAGTCCCCGGTGGAAATTGTGGGAAGAGAGCGATAAATTCGCAGGAATTTCTCCATGGAGGTCTGGAAAAGCTTGGGAGAAAGAAGGACTCACTAGAGAATGCCCGGCCCACAGTTCCTCTCAGGACTGGGTCACATTTATCTGCCTAGAGCAGAGATCTCTGGAAAGACTGGAGAACATAGAGAAAGGATTAGAATGTCTGAGGTTCTAAAGCAGAGTTAGTGAGCAAAGGAGGTCTTTCTACTGTGAAATTTTAGGTGCTTCAAAATTAGTGACACCTTCTAGGTTTAAGGAGGATGAAAGCTTGGGACACACACCTTGAACTGACTCCCCCACTGACCATTTCCTTCCTTTTTGTTTTGATGTTAAGAGATGGGTTGGACGACTACCTTGTCTCTGCCACTAATCTTACAATTTCTCTCACCTCTTCTAACTTCTCCTGGGAAGTCCTCCCTTCAGGTCTACCCTTCATCTCTCTGGATGCAGTCGGTTAAGTTTCTCCCTCTTCTGTCTCATACTATCTTATCATCCTTTCCAAGGATTAGACGCTAACTTGGACAAACAAAATGAAGGAGTCTGAGGGATGCTTGGTATCGCTCCAGGTCAATCAGAACGCGGGAGCTGGGGGTGGGAGCAGGGAGGAGTGTTGCTATGGAACTACGATTTCCAGTGTGCCTCGGGGCCCGGAAACCCCACCCATCCACCTCTCGGTGCATTGTGGAGAATGAGTCAAAGTGGGGGGCGGGGAAACCGGACCTTGGGAGGCAGGACGTGAGTGTGAGGTCAGCCAACACTCCAGACAGAGGCGGCGGGTGCAGCGCGGAGATGCAGGCGGCTAAGATGGCCCCGGGAGTGGGACGGCAGCTGCTGCGCTTCGGGGGCAGCAGGTCTGTGTCCATTAGGAGGGACTAGGGGCAGCAGACCTAGGGATTGGACCAGGACTGAATCTCATTCTCCACAGCTCGCGACCCAGTGTGTTCCTGGGGCAAGCCCAACCCAGCCGGATCCGACGGGCCTATGTCACTGGAGCCGCACAGGTAAATGACAGCGGATGTGTGTGTGTGTATGTATGTAGAGAGTGGAATTCCACCTCCTCGCTACCGCCAGGGGGGTCTCCCTCTTGGCCCCAGTCATCTGTCATCCGCTCTGGCACCAAAAGTAGGGGAAAGGGCAGGCCAGGGTGCCCTATGGGTAAAACTAGGGGAAAGGTCGTAGGATTCACCCTCCCTCTCACCCTGCCTGTTCCCAGACTATCCTTGGCACATCTAAGTCCCCTTCCACATCTTAACGAATCATCTTTCTCCAGGCGGTTGTGGACAAGTCAGAGTCTGTGTCTTCTGATGTCTCCGTCAAGGAAAGCCAGGTTAAGGAGGTATGTAGTTCCCAAGTCCGGAGGCAGTGAGCTGGGGTAGACATCCACCCCTCCAGCCAACTCCCTACAATCGACTTCTCCCTGCCTAGGAATCTAAGTCCTTTGCTGTGGGAATGTTTAAGGGCCAGCTCACCACACACCAGGTGTTCCCATACCCATCTGGTAAGGACAGGGATCATCAAAGCTGGCGCCCCGGGGCAGGGGGTGGGGGTGGTGTCAATACAGGCCACTGCCTGACCTGCCTGGCTCTTCTACCTCCCTGCAGTGCTCAACGAGGAGCAGACACAGTATCTCAAAGAGCTGGTGGACCCTGTGTCCCGTTTCTTTGAGGTGAGGGATGGTTGGGGCTAGAGTGCTGGGCTGGGTCCCTTCCAGGCTTTCAATATAAAAAGTACCTACATGGGATCCTATGCCTTCCCAGGAAGTGAATGATCCTGCCAAGAACGAAGCTTTGGAGCAGGTGGAGGAAAACACCTTGAAGGGCCTCAAGGAGCTGGGGGCCTTTGGTCTACAAGTGCCCAGTGAACTGGGTGGTGTGGGCCTCTGCAACACCCAGGTGAGGGGAGCCCCCTCCACCCCTCCCTGGGATCTCAGTCTACTCCAGCTTCCGGACTTCCCTTACTCCTGGGATCAAGGTCTCTGCCAAACAGCGGCACTGGGGCTTATGTTCCCACTGTATACACAACCAAACCAAAACCCACTGCTGCGACAGAGAACTTCTTTACAGAAGCAGACTGCCACATTCCTCACGTGGAACGATTGGTGCATTCGAACTGCCAAACTTTCTGTTAGCAGCCGAGTGCCTTAATCACTGTACAACCCAGACTCCTACTGTATACACACACACACCCAAACATACAAATGACATGAAGCCCCTTAGGGCCATGGACCTCACCTTGACTCCCAAGTCCTAATGAATCTCTAAGCAAGTGGGGACCAACAACTTAAAGCTTCCTTCCCACTCATACCTGGCTGAGACCTTTTCCTTAGTTTTGCTCGCTGTCTCCAAACGGCTTGGTCCAGGCTAGGTCCTGTTCCATTCTACTCACTTGGGCAGGTCCATCAGCAACCAATTACAGCTTACCCTCCTGTTTCTCTTCCAGTATGCCCGCTTGGTGGAGATCGTGGGCATGCATGACCTTGGAGTGGGCATCACCCTGGGGGCCCATCAGAGCATCGGTTTCAAAGGCATTCTACTTTTTGGCACAAAGGCCCAGAAAGAAAAATACCTTCCCAAGCTGGCATCTGGTGAGGCAGCCCTAGAGACAGGGAATTGGGGGTGTACTGGGCTTGGCACAAATTAGCCTGGTTGGCACAGAAGATAGCTGCACACCTGGGCCTGTTTGAGGGGGATTCTGGGGCAGCCTAATGAGTGTGCTGGTGGGAAAATGTAGACTGAATGTTCCCAGAGGGGTTAAGCAGAGGGAGAAGAGGGCTCTGCTGGGTTAACTTCGATGCCATCAGGATCCATGGTATAAAGCAGCTCTCTTCACAACAGGGGAGACTGTCGCGGCTTTCTGTCTAACTGAGCCCTCCAGTGGGTCAGATGCAGCATCCATCCGAAGCTCAGCTGTGCCCAGCCCTTGTGGAAAATATTATACCCTCAATGGAAGCAAGATCTGGATCAGGCAATCTTTTTCTCCTCTTCACCTTCCCCAATCCCCGGTTCCACTGCTCCGTCCTCCTTGCCCTGACTCTCCCCTAATTTTTTCACAGTAACGGGGGCCTGGCAGAAATCTTTACAGTCTTTGCCAAAACACCAGTTAAAGATGCATCCACCGGCTCCACAAAAGAGAAGATCACAGCTTTTGTGGTGGAAAGAAGCTTTGGGGGTGTTACCCAGTGAGTGGGTTGGGTGTTGGAGGAAGTGGCAGGGCCAAGAAGGGGTTAGTACTGGGCTGGGGGGGTGGGGGGAAGGGAACAAAAGCCAAACCAGATGCATAGCATGTTCCCGTTGGGATCAATATATATGGAAATGACCTTAAGCAAGCTTGGACTTCCAACAGTGAGTCAAACCCATGGTAGCAGGGCATGTGGCCTGTACTTCTTGTACTCTGGAAGTATATAGTTCCTCCTTGGTTCATAAGGAACGGGGCAGTTTCCTACTCTGATAGTGACTTGTTGAACACACCTCTGCTTCTCTACCCCACCCCATCACAGTGGGCCCCCTGAGAAGAAGATGGGCATCAAGGCCTCCAACACAGCAGAGGTGTATTTTGATGGGGTACGCGTACCATCAGAGAACGTGCTGGGTGAAGTGGGAGGCGGCTTCAAGGTTGCCATGCACATTCTCAACAATGGACGGTTTGGCATGGCTGCAGCGCTTGCCGGCACCATGAAGAGCATCATTGCTAAAGCGGTGAGTACCTGCCAGACTCTCCAGTTGCTCAACTCATACTGACCTATTCCCCACTGCCCTTGAGTTCATTCCAACTCCTAACACTATAGCACAGCAGAACTGCTCCATAGAGTTTTTGAGATTATAAATCTTCACAGGAACAGCCAGCCTCTCCATGGAGTGGTTGGTGGGTTTGAACTACCAACCTTGTGGATTCAGTTTATTCTACAATACCACCAGGGTTCCTATTGCTAACCTAATCTGAGTCATACTGCCCCCTTGCCATGTGTCCTTATTCCCTTGTAGGTGCATCCCCCCCACGAGAAGTACTGCCGTCCTGTGTCCCCCC